TTCAGAGGCCTCTCTCATGGGGTTGTCGTCTTCATGGCTATAGCTCATCCTACCTCTTTTTTCAAGGGTAGTGAGAACTTGGATTGTAACTCGACTTTGTTCTTTTTCAAGAATGCCCCCATTTCAGGGTTAGTCGCTAGTTTTCTGGTAATTTCTCCGATGGAGAACGCAAAACTTTGAATGGGGAGTGCTTTCCACAGACGGCGCCAATCTATTGACCTCGAAAATTGGTCCTTCTACGTGGCCAACTGAAAGCTGCTCCACGTATTTCTCTCTGCGCACAATCAACGAATAGTCAGACGCACACTGTCGGAACCAGCGGGGGTGGTGACGGCCGTATACACTCCGACGGTCACGTCAGGTTTAAGTGGTCGGAACAGTACCCAGGGGCTGTGCAAATCAATGATAAAGGGGGAGGAGAAAATATATAAGCTTGCTATAGAGTGCTGTGTAGTAAAAGTTTCATTACCTCTGCCTCTTGCCAAACCTTGGGTATTTATATGTGGTATGAACCGTTGGATGTGGGACGCATGTATACATCTGATGGTATGAGGCGTCCGCTCATAGGCGTCAATCAGCCGCGTCTGTAGAGTGGGCGGACAATTTGTTTTTTCTAAGTTGAATTGACATAAAGTTGATAAATCACATCAACTAACCTCATAGAGACGTCAAATCAATTTAAACCTTAGGTGCAGGAAGGATCTTGGCACAAATCTCTTTCTGAAATTGGCGATGGATCTTCTAACCGGGGTCCACTTAACCTCGACCTCGGAGGCGAGGTGCTTCGGCAGGTCAGTAGTAGGAATCGCTATATCACTTCGGAAACACTTCGGACAGGTCGTTATCATGTCGGAATATGTGGTGCTGCGCGTTCCGAGGCGTATAAGATCGGAGCGTAACATTGGTGATGAATTTGAATCAGACAAAGAAGAAAAAGTGGACGAACTATGAAATCAAAGAAAGTCTCAATGGTTCAATTGAATTTATTGAAGTGGAAGAGATTATACGGTGGGAGTTCACTTATATGGTAGTTTAGTTTTTTGCCACTGCATTGCTTGTTTTACATGGTAAACCACTTCTTTAATGCTTCGGCTAATTGATGAAACAGAATCAATTTGATGTAATATAAAATTTTTACTTTATACATAACTATGTCGTCTCGTATATCCAGTCGAGTAAATGCTGACATCGTCACTAAAATTAGTAATTTTCACATTGGAAGAATGCGACATCAATAATGTCCCAATCATTTTATACCAGGACCGTATGGATTATATCTATATATGGAAATGATTTCCTAAGTACTGATGCTTAATTTATGTTAATGATACGTTCATTTAATTCATTTGATTCTATATTCTCCTATCACGTCATTTACAATTGAATTTTATATGTTTTACTGTTACGATATTTGCAATTTAATTGAGCGTTTAAATTATTTATTTATACACCATTATTTAAGTGTTTAGTTACATTCATTACAAATGATGACAATATCAAAAGCCTAATGCTATCAAATGCCCATTTTACTAATTTTATACAAGCACATCAATAAAATATTTCTATGCGCCAAACAACGTAAAATAATTTTGAAACAGAAGTTTGTCGAACACTATATTGTTCTTTCCACAATTGATCTTTTCAACCAGGGGTGGAGCCACTATACGTCCAGTGCCACTATACTTTTGGGCCAAAATTTTTTTTAAGATTTGTTTGTTTGTTTAACCAAGTAACTCAATTCTCGATCCAGCCTAGAGAGAGAAGCCCAATTGTGCAAGGTCATGACCCGTTTTAAACCCATTTATATCAAAATTCAATTGAATCAATTGTTAACCCAAACCCATTCATTCATTTCAAAATTTCTACCCTTCATGACTTTGTCTGTGACGATTTCACACTTCGCCACCCACTTCCCTCTTCACCGGTGACAAAGCCCACCGTTCCCTTCCCTCTCCGTCAACCGTTGTCTTCGACAGTTCTCACAGTACAACCGTCGTTCCCTTTCCCTCTCCGACAGTCCATTATTGTATATCTCCTACTCTAGGCTCTCATCTTGACATCTCACATCTCTGACTCCGACTTTACATCCTCAGCGCCGTCAAGGCGCCAAGTGCCAACGCCAACCAGCTGAGCAGGCAAAAGAAGAAGCCAAATTCCAGAAAGCAAAAGGCGAAGCCCCAAATTTTTTTTCCCTTATTTTTTTTTGTTATTTCAATTTGTGTAAATTGTAATAATATTTTTTTTTTGTTTTTAACATATTAAATTAGCACTTTGTCCTTTAATTGCTTGAAGCGGCACAAACTTCCAGTGGACTACCAGTTCATTGTTGCCTCTGGGCTCTGGCTCTCTGGAAATCTGTGATTGCAAGTTCAAGTTGTCTAGTATTTGGAAATAATATATATTGCATTGTCAAATTGTGAATTGAATTTGTGAAATTGTGAATTGCACTAGTTTTTTGAGTTGCTTCCCATATTTGTGATTCATTTGACATCTCGAATTACTCCCACTCCTAGTAGTAATTGGGTGATCAGTGGATGAATGATAACACAATTGTTTATGTGGAGAAAGATATATTTTTCAGGTTCAATAATGAAGTTATTATACAACGATATCAAAGTATGAAAACTCGCAAAGAACAAGTATAATATATAAATTATGTCGTTTTTAGTATTGATGTGCTATTGTTTTATTTTTTTATCGTCATTAAATCCCTGACCAAAACCTCGACATTCGTCGTCAAAAAAATTTTGCCCGCACTGAACTAAAATCCTGGCTCCGCCCCTGTTTTCAACACAGTTACAATTGATTCTCTTAAAAGCATAGTAATACCAAATCAAGCCTTAGTCGTAATAATCATCTTTACCATATTTAATTTACTTAGAGTATCATGGGTGGACCCACGTGGGTTTATGTGGGGTCAAATGACCCCACAAATTTTTTGGCCTTTCTCTTTTCTTATGTTTTTAAAAGTAGTTGTTTTGATCACTTTAAGGCCTACTTTGATGAATTCGTTATGAGATGTCAAATGAAGTAAAAAAATTACATTCTTAATACCATTTCGAAGTCTTCATGACCTAATTTTTCGCTCACTAAAGATGTTTGAAATGGTTAACCATAGCAAAAGTTACAACACGTAAAGCAGGTCGTTTGAAATTAGTATTTCGAGAATTTCGATAATAGTTAACTTTTAAAAATTGTCGACGATCGTATGCTATTCGAATCCACAAATCTTCTATGTCATGTAAATTTTCATTTCGAAAACTACATCGTTGTCATAATAAATAGTCCAAACGGACATAAAAAAAGAGAGTTAAATATGCATCAAACGTACGACTCAAAAAAAGATGTCTAACTCGTCTTTTCTTCTTAAAAAATTCAATTATTTCACTATCCTTTATTATTTTTGCACGATAAATTTTTCAATATAATTTATATAATTTTATTAGGAAATTATATATGGATATGATGTCAAAAATTTTAGGATCGTTACGAATTAAATGTAATTTGAATTAATTTCAAATTACATTTGCTTTAAATGTGAATTTGATTTATTTCTTAGATTAAACTTGAATTTTATTTCAATTCATTACGTTCCATATTCAATTTGATTCAGTCTTTCGGCTCAGCATTTGTCCATGAATTGGTAAACAAAACTATACAAGTAATATAATTTATTTAATAATATTTATAGTGATGTAATTATACGACATTTTTAAATATTAAAATACGTATTAACTTATTTTCATTACTATTATGTTATTTAAAAAAATATTTTAATTTTTGACCCCACATATCTAAAACTCTGTGTCCACCTCTGTCAAGTATAGTCCAAATTAATCTCTCTATTGAATAAAAATTATACTATTTTATTTAATATAATAAAATTTACTTATAGTCTCGTGTTCTAAATTTGTTTCAACAACAAAGTTATTTTATGATAAATTTGACAGCAGAGGAACACGAATTCTCATGTGACCGTTGCTTTCCCATTGAAATTTCCGTCAGCGGCAAATACAAGAGCATAATAATTTATAATTAATCTTTCTAAATCATAGCCATTCATGCACTTATTTTGACAAGACTACCTATTTTATTGTCTAAATAATAAATTAAAAAGTTACAACCAACCATTCTCGAAACTACGTTACTATTTAAAATGATTTAATTGTAGATAATTTAAAATCCACGTGATCATGATTGGAATTGTTGATCGATATTAAAATTGAAGAGTAATGTAATTTATCATCACAATGACGATCATTTCTCATCGTCAAGATAACAAATAACATTATTCAAAATTGAAACTACATATATAAACCCAATTCTAGAAATACTCGCGAATTCATATGGTATCTTTGTCAGTATTATTTGGTGACAAAAATAGAGCTGTTGTTTGATAATGTTGACAATAGTGGAAAAACAATTTGAAAAGGAAATTTACAATCTGGCACGCTCGTGTTGTGTTCCCAACAAAAAAAAATGTATTGGAACGCAACTTAGGAAAATATGTTATTCTCACAATGCACGTAAGAACATCTCTATACCTAACTTGAACAGTCTTGTTATTGTACTTTTTCAATTTAAATATAATAAATCGAAAAAATCAAATTAGTCGAAGCTCTGGTTATGATCAATTGTGATTCATATAGGTCGATTAAAGTTGTTTTAAGATACGCAAATTTTAAAAGCGTGTGAAGCAAACAAGAACCGTTCAATACCTAACTCCAACAATCTTGTTATGGCTTTTTCGATAAAATACTAAATCCAAAAGATCACATTGGTCGAAGCCTTGATTATTATCAATTGTGATCTATATAGGTCGATTAAGCAATGGAACATGTATGCAATTCGGTAGTGTCCAGTGCATTGCGAATGCAAGCAATCGAATTTGAGATCAACAAAATCTACTCATAATCTATCAAGTGAACCTTCGAGGCGTACAATGCTCTTAGAAAAGATATTTTCTTAATCGCGAAATCAAATAGCTAACAAGATAAGAGTCGTTCTAAATGGAAAACATGTTTGCATTGTAGAAATCCGAAGTACAAATCCAAGTAGGTCCATATTAATTTAAAGGGCAATCAAAACACAGAAAATAAGAACTAACACTACTTTACATTCTTATAGTTGAAATAAAATTCAGCCATCCGTTTAATGAAAAACGAATCCCTCTTCTTCACAAGTCCTTCCTCATCAAAAGCATGCATCAAGAAGACAACAGCAGCACAAAGCGGCCAAACTGTACAAAATAACATCAAAAATCAGTCAAAGTAATTTGAACCAAAGGAAAAGGAAAAAGAAAAAGGAAGCAAGGGAACATAACATATAGACTAAAAAGCCCTCATAACCGCTATAATTAGAAGGGTACTTTCGGAATTTCATCCCCAGTGCTTCAAGGGAAAAAGATTCCTCCCCTATATTCAACCCAACCGGGGCCGGGGAACCACTAACTCACCAGATGCGCACGTTAACAATAGTGCGCAGGCTACTCATTTGACTCGGCGTCGAGTCACAAAACAACAAATTAATCCAACTCAGATCCTATAGATCTAAATTCATAGAAAGTAAAAACTCTAATCTCTAAGAAATCCACATAAACATACAATCCACAGAAAAAAAATCCAAAAAAATTGTTATATATTATCGAATATCGTACCATCCTTCCATGAATCCGGTACCACCGCTGGATTGCTGTTGAGGCGGCGGAGCAGCGTATTGGGGTGCGTATTGCGGAGGATAGCCCTGGGGCGGGTAGCCTTGCTGCGGCGGGTATCCAGCAGGCGGATAAGCGTCCTTAGGATAACCTTCCGGTGGATAACCTGAAGATTAATATCCACGATCAAAAAACCCAAATCACGTTAGATCGCATAAACTCAACCAACAAAAAGTAGACAAAATAATCGAATGAAGTTCTTGCGACTAGCCTTGAGGAGGAGGAACACCAACAGGGGGTTGATTCTGATTGTAGTAACTCATATTTCTTGCTTGGAGAATTGAATTCGGTTGAAGAGAGAGTTTTAGCCTCTTAGTTTTTTGGGAGAGAGAAACAAGTTGACGTGATATTTATAAGTGGGTGAGTAGGAGAAGGATCGATGCAATGGTAGTTGAATTTAAATTCGTGTGTGTTATATTACGAATTGAATTCAGATTTTTAATCAAAATCATAGTAAAGAATGAATTTTAGCCGCATAAAATTCTCATAACTTTTCGATTACACATTTCATTAACTTTTATCAAAATTTATTAAAAATTTTATTTTAATCTCGAGCAAACGGTGGCTAAACAATCTTACAAACCGAATCAAATTTTAATTCAATTCCAGAAGTATTAATTTATAACCTCTCGAATCAAACCGTTTTATGAAAGATCCTGACTTTCGAACTTTGGTGGGTCTTTGAGATCCTTTCGATGATGATGTTCATATTCAAATATAAATTACAAGAGTCTAGTAAAACTAAATAAGGAGAGTATCTGAAAATCGAATCTAGACACTTAGCAGCCGTCTGAGAGCAATGGTCGCCACCACCGACTACAAATGGTAGGTTGCACAAAACAATTTGAATTCAGATTCAGAATCATCAACCCAAATTTTAAAGAGCAATGCTATTTGTAATTGTTTACTATCGTAGTCTTTGTATATGGCATATATGCGACGGTTAGTAATTTGATGTATTAGCGAGTGCAAATAACATTATTTAATTTTAAATCCTTCTGGGATGAACATATTAATTCTCAGTTGTTGAATTGACTAGATAATAATTGAACCAGTAACGTCTTTGTTATTTCTTGCTTTAAACAACCAATAGCTTGTATCTTAATAAGTTACGAAGACTCGTCAACTCAATTAAATTTTATTTTAAATAAGCCAAGTCTGGGGCAATATAGTGAATTAGAAAACATCATTAAATTTCACGGTCTAAGTACAACGTGTTTCTCATGGTTGAACCAATTGGCCAAAATTACGAAGGGAAAAAAATAGTTTTATTTAGGAACCAATGATCGGAGTCCAAACAAATAACCAATGTAATTATTATAATCCTAATGTAGCGAAATTCCTTAAAACCCTGTTGGGTTCAAAGCCAGGCCAAAAAATAAGGATCGCTACCCAATTCCTTACTAGGAAAGTATGACTTCTAACTTCACTGTACATTTGTTTATTGAACAACGAATTAATCTATTTGTATATGATGGCTTATACTTTGGTTCACACGGCCCCACTCGACCTCTCACATGGAAGAGGTCGAGTCCCACGCCCAAATGTATGGAGACGACCTCCCCATGTGAGAGGAGTGGTGGGACCGTGTCAACTAAAAGGTAAGTCACCATGTACAAATAGCAAGATCCATTACCATAACTATTTGAACAAGGACATGAAAATATTGTTTTAATCTCCAATAGGTGGCATATGAGTCAATAAAGCTAAAGCTTTGTGGAAGACAAACATATGTTCCATATCTACCTCTCTGCTAACTAGTTAGGAACACGTGTGTTGCTCATAATTTTGTGTTCTAGAAATAAAATTTCAGCCATTATTGAAATTGAATTACACCAAAGTGGAATGAGATTTTTTTTTTTTTTTCCAAATGTGATCCGTGAGATGGGGTTTTCGGATCACTGGTAACGTAATTCAATCCTCATATCTAATCGATGCGAAAATTATTTCTCAACAACCCACACGATTATGATTAGACCGACAACACTAATCTTGAAATTATGTATTCGTTTTGAATCGAAGTATATGTTGAAACATAATATGGATTTCACATCAAAACGTTAATCTTGTTAAGAGGAATAATCCAAACCCTTGTGTATGGTTAATTTTTCAGTATTTAACATGTCGGATTTATCCATTAACATACAACGCACTTCTACCATGATTATATTTTGACGTCTTAAATTGGACTTCAATAATTACTTTTATCAGAGCTTCTCAATTTGCAACCCTCACATGGATGAATCAAGTTGCACGAAAAACAATATTTATGCTAATAAAACACACCACGCCAGCAACTTAATGTAGTTGAGCTCAATAGCCAAATACAATCGAATTCAAATATGTTCTTTTTAATCTGTTCTTAAATTCAGAATCTGCAAATCTTGCAATTTATCATGGATTTGCCTATGGCAAAGTTGCATGGTTTTCACAATTAATTGCCTCGCTTAATGCAGAATATTTATTCCAAACTAAATTACTACTCAAGTAAATACCTATAATGGATATAAATCGAACCACCTTTCAATCATGGCAAGACATTCTTTAGGGTAGTGAGCGGCAGCTACATGACCTCCTCCCTGCAATTCAAACTTCTTTGTTAATCACCTTTTAATTTCTTTGTTACGTCAGAGAAAGAGCATAATCAAAATTCTCTTGCCTTCACTGTCGCAAATGTTATAGAGAAATCCTTGTTCTTGTATCTCTCAGTGTATCTGCAAAGGAGAGAAATTTGTAGTGCCTTATTTGTGAGCGAGGGAATCATGTAATAAGCACTCGGGTTTATCTTATTTTAAGCACCGATGATATGATATAGCAGTTCATTAGTGGATAAACTTACAGCAAGCCTAACATTTGGATCAACTTTGTTATCCATCAAGGAATTGATATGTCATGTTATATCATCGATACTTAGCATAAGATGAGCACTGATATTCATATAAGCATCTATATTTATGAGCAAGAATAGAATACTAACCCTGCAATTTGACCATCAACAGACCAAGGTCTCCAGTCATCATCAAGTGCTATACCGAGATTGCGTATCCAATTTAAAGTATTGATATGAGGAACAATCATGTCGTGATCACCACTGGAGGAAAAAAAAAACCAGAGACATGATAGAAATTGTAAGCTGCCGTCATGTAGTGTCCAATCCAACATACCATATTCGTGGTGTTGTACACATTGCTTTAATTATATGATTCTTCTAGTAGTGTCTTTCGCTTAGTTCTC